TTCATGACCAAATTAGAGAATGAAACAAACGCCTATTCAAGAAGGCTTGTTATTGAATGAGGTTCTATAATCCAGTGCCACAGCTTATGGTCCATATGGAAGCCCAGCTGAGAAATCCAGCACTGCTTTATCAGCAAAGCTACAAATATTTACTGAGAACAGAAGTCAAATGGGAAGGACTGTCTGATCCAAGCTATGCATGTGTGTAACTGCCCAAAGCATGAAAACAACAGTCTTTTCTCAATTTTTATTGCTGTATGGGTGGTCCCCAGTGTTATTCATAAATAATCTTTTTTTTTAAAACTTTGTACAGGATAAAGAGGATAATAACCGTACCAGCTTCACCAGCCCGTGGAGAGAACAGCTGAAGAGAGCATGTGAAATTGCTGTGATGAATAGCAGAAGAGGGGAAGGCTTCTTGCAGTGAGAGAGATCTAAGCAGCCCATCAGGCCAGGAGGCAAACTGAGAGAAAACTTTTTTGGCTAGGATTGAATTAGGAGTGGTGTATGGTGTTAAAGAACAGAAAGCCAACAGGTTCTCTGTGCAAAGGAAAACCAAAGAAAAATGAACGCATCAAAATATGTGATTTAAACCTTGTCTAAATTAAGAAAGAAACACGAAAGTGCTGCTCTGAAGAAAGAGCTTGAACTCAGTCAGAGAAAAGAGATTCTAAAACAGTAACAGAGAAACTTCCTCCTCTTTAGAGACAGTGAAAGAGAAAATAGCATGTGCCTTCCTATTAAAAACGTGTCTTTCCAAGGAGAAAAGGCTCAAAACCTGAATACTTCAAAGATATTAACCCCAGTGTGCTCCAGATAACTCCTGCAGAGATGGGCAGCAATGGTGGTGTCAGAACACTTGAAAACAGTGACCTGGAAGCCTCTGTTCCAGAGGCAAGACCAAGCCGTTCTGTCTGCCCAAGACACTGCCCAGTTCCTGACGTAAAGATGGGATCAGTGCAGACCACTCCTGCACCCCAGCCTCCCCACTGCCTTCAGGAGCTGCTGAAGAACAGGCAGCCCAGCCCAGGGAGGTACAAGCTGACTGACCCCTTCAGCTGCAGATGCCTCTGGGCTGTTGGCAGGATTTGCCAAGCTGCAATCTGCCTCTGGCCACACGCCACACTCACCTTGTGAAGGCCTCGGGCTGCTTTGAATCCCTGCTACCAGCAGCAGTCTAAATGTTAAAGATCAGCACATTGGACAAATATTAACAGAATTTCAGGCCAACAGCTCAGCAGCAAAATGCTGCCATGTGCTGAGATTTCTTCCTGATCAGTAGCTGTGAGCTTGTGTCAGCAGCCTCTTCTCCATTTCACTAATGACAGCTGTGAACCTCCTCCATCAACAAGCTGGCTTAAGCCATGCCATGACTGCCTCTGCTGCCTCTGTACACTCAGCAAACCCTTCCTCCTGCTCAGAGAGTTCTGGAAGCTCACATACATCATGGTAGGACACTGATTTCACTGCTGGCTCAGTGATGAACTGTCACAGCTGAGACAGCCACGACACACAGAGCACCACCACACAATTCCAGAAGGCTTCAAGCATTCACCCAAACAGAGTAACACCACACAATTCCAGAAGAATTCAAGTATCTGCCCAGACAGAGTAACATCACACCACCTCAAAAGGCTGCAAGCATCTGCCCTTGCTGTTCTCCAGCCCAACCCTTTATCTCCTCACGTTGATGCACTGCCCCTGTGTGCCCTCTGCTCCCTTTGGTGGTTGGGCAGTACCTGGGCACTCCATGGCTCATTGCTTTGGAGCTCACTGGGGATGGGGTCAGGCACAACCCCACTCCAAACCACCTCAAACTGTGTGCCTGCAATGAACAGATGTCAGGAAAAAATGGTAACAGGAGAAAGCCTGAAAAAAACATTTTCTACCAGAGGCACTAGAAAAGTGCAGGACAGTCTTTCCTCAGGTTGTTCAACAGCAATCAGTGCAATGTTGTTTAGGTCATTCTTCTGCTGAGGTTTCCTACATGGGAAGTTACTTTGCCACTAGAATATTGGTGGAGCTCCTGTAGGTGACAGTGTGGCCAGTCCTAGACTGGAATTTCAATATATTGAATCTTCTCTGAGAGAGGCCTACAACTTCTGGGTAAATACATCACCAACAGCTATCTGTACACCATGCACAGAAAGCATAATGCATTTCAGAATACACTTGATTTTTAAGTAGTTCTTGAACTCCCAAGTGCTTAAATCACTTCTGAAAGTAAAATAGTGACTCTTGAGTCAGAAGCTTTTGAAAGTATTATTCTCTGTGTTTTCCAGTTTTGTTCCTCTTCAAGCACTTAAGTGATTTTTAAAGGCACTGATCACCCACAGGTTGTGTTGCTGTTCCTGACAGTTGTGAGCAGTCAGCACCTCTGGAGAAGTTGAGAAATTTTGTGCCTCAGTTCATTTGCCTGGATTTTAAAACTGTGGCCTCTGCTTTTATTGACTTTTGAGACAGGTGAAGTTGATAAAGTGAACAATATAAAAAGTGCAGCAGAGCATTAAAAAGCAGGAAAGATGATGAGAAGAGATTGCGGCCAAGATTAAAAGACAGGATTTCATTGGGATGTTTTCCTTATGCCAAGACTTCCTTTTTATTGCCTTTTTTTTCCCCTTCATGTGGAGTTGCACTCAAAAAGCTGCATCCTGACTCTCCCACACCCCTGGATTTTATCATAGTCAGTGGTGCACATCCCTGTAAAAAGCACGTTAAATATTTTTGTGGTTAAATGTCACCTGGCTTGGTGGGAGCAGAAGCCTCACATACAGGGCTCATAAGAATGAATCATTTTATAACTCCCAATCTCTGCAGATCCCCCTCGTCTGGCCCTGCTCTCATCCTGAACCCAGCCAGGGCCTGTCCCTGCAGTCACTTGGACAAGTCCCTGAAGTCCCCTGGGCTGAGGATTGGTGCCACAACACCCTGCTCTGGTGTCCTGTGGCAGCAGCTCTGTGCTGGGCTGGTGTCTCTGGCTGCAGCTCCTCCTGCTCCTCTGAGGCTCTCTGGGGTTTCATATTTGATTTTGGAGGTCTGGACAATGCTGCTGCTTGGATCTCCTGAGTTAAACAGGGTCAGAGCTGGTTAGTTGTTGGATGGAGTGACCGCCAAGGAAAACACCTGCAGGAGGTGTGATGGTGATTCTGGAGGTGGCTCACTTCCCTCACTCAGGACTGAATTGGTCTCTCCAGGGCCAGAAACTGAAGAACTGGCAGAGATGACAATTTCCAAAGGTCAGGACAGGATGGAAAACCAATGTCTGTTTGTTTTCTTTGCAAGGGCATGAGGAAAGTTCCTGCCCTAGAAACAAGGCGCCTCTGGTGTGATTAAAGAAGTCAGCAAAACTCTGCTTCTTTAAACTGGGAAATCACTCTCTGAAAAGATCACACCTATGGGATTCCAGCAGGTCAGAAAACATCCTTAGACTACAGATTCTTAATTTCTCTCCTCCACTCTGGCCATGCAGTCACATTCCCTGCCCACAGCATCAGTCATGCAGTGCTAAAAATGCTAAAAATGCTTCTGCCTGCCTTCCTCACACTGCTTACCTAGGAACTGTTCTGCACTATGAGGAATGAATAGAACAACTACTGAAAGGTTTTTATCCCAGCCAGGATTAAAGCAATCACTTCCTGTTCATGGCCAATTGTTTCAAGTGTCACTTAGAAGAGGTGCAGGAGCAGTCAGGCTCATTGGAGACCTGATACCATCTGTGGCTTGTCTTAGATTGTCACATAGCAGGTGAACTTGGAATGAAATCCTCATTCTTGTTTTATCAAAATCAGTTTGCTCTTTCATCATTTTAGGTCAAACTTTTTTTTTTCTTAGCACTTTTTCTAAGTGCCCAAATAGCAATGGATGAGAGTCCTGTAACATAAATCTTTCAACATCTTTGGACACTTTCCTATGTGTTACCTGGCTCAAAACTTCAGTTCTTTAAATGAGAAAAGATGCTGTGGTTCCTCCCACTAAAACTGGTCATTATCTCACTAACATCAGATTTACTCCTGTGAAATATCTTTCTCAAATCAGCATGTTGTTGCAATAACATGTCCTAAGGTGAAATCTGACTTTAGAGTAGATTTTTTTCTTCATGAAGGAGAACTTTCTGCTGATATTCCTCACTTGCACAGTCCATTGATCATTAATTTATTGCATCTTTCTGTGGGACAGTGCTGAATGCAGGCTGGATTATAAGGTATTGAGTCACTGTTCATTACTGATTTATTGAAGCCTGTAATAGGAACAGAATGAAACAGTGTTTGAACAGCCTGTTTGAAACTAAAGTCAAATGAATGTAAAGCATATGCTCAATGTAACATTGTCCCAACAGAAGGATGGATTTCACATCCTTAAGGATTTTAAATCATAGGGGTCAAAATTCAGGATTTGTTTCAGTGAATCAGTCAGCCCAGTGGAAATGAGCTATTTGTGATCTCCACTGATGGCACTTCCCCTGCAGACAGGCACTTGGGTGCTCCATCTCATCTGCTGCTTCTCCTGGTTAGTGCTGCAGCTCTTCATGTGCATTTTTGCCAGTTGCAGCTGGAATTGCCACTTCCTATTTGAGAGGAGAAGGGGGAGTAGGTACAGTTTCTAGATTTTTTGTGGGTTTAGGCATCTTCATGACAGTTTTACTAAGCTTGCTTGTATTATGCTCTTCCTGGCATTTCCTCCTTTTGAAGTCATTAAAACCGATTTCATATTTATAAATAAAGTGTCCTAATGCATCTAATATATGATGAGGTCTGGCTGCTGCCTGATTCTCTTTTTAATGTTTACGCCAGGTGCCTCTTGCTTTCAAGGAACCAAGCAATGAATAAATTTAACAGATATTTCTCTTAATTAGCCCCCAAAGAGCTAGCAATGAAAAACACTATCAGAAATATTCTAGTGCTTTAGAAAATATAAGACTTCTTCACAAAGCCTCTACACAGAATTACAGAACAGCAATAAAATCATCACTTGCATGCAGAAATAGATTGTTTACACAGGGATCTCTTATGAACTGGCATTTATTATGATTAACTTCTAATCACACAAACGTTTCCACACATGCATCTGAGCACAGCCACTGAAATCAGTGGGACAGCTCTGCTGCCTGACATTAGGTACAGGCATTAAAGTTTGTGGGATTAGAGCCCCATTTGTGTGTATCTCAAAGAGCTTTGCCTTCTCTCAGAAGGGGGAAGGAAAATTTATATTCCAGATTGGTGTAATTACTGTAGGACACACAATAGTGGCAAACTAGATTCTCTGAATGTCTGCAACATTTCAAAGTAGTTTAAGATAGAGGCTAAAGGCTGACAGTTTCTTATTCTGACTTACATTCTGCCCCCTCTGCTTTTGATTCTGCATTCAGAGCTGCCACAAGAATGTCAGCACTGCAATAAATATGCATTTATGTAGCACCTTTTTTTTTTGAAGTTTTCTAAACACTTTACAGACAGCCCTTTATATTCACAGATCTCAAAGTATTTTAGAAATCTCTGTTAGTATTGTTTTATTCCTTTTACTGAGGGAGCAATGGGTTTGTTTCCAGGGGAGCAACTGATCCAGGAGCCAGTGCTTTCAAATTAGCTAAATTAGAATTCTCCTATGAAAATTTTCTCCAAAAGGTCTCAAGTGGCTCTGAGGGAAAACATGAAGTTTTTATTTCCATCTTTCAGTGTGCTGGTATAGGCAGGATTACACAGGGCTAATAAACCTCATGTGTGCCAAGAGTCAACCCAGAAAATTCCAGTCAACCAGACACACAGTAATTGTGTCTGCCCTATGGTTGGGATATTGGGAAGAAAATCCAAGAATCCTGGCTCCAAAGTTGTTTGTTGCAGGTAGATCATGGGGTTGAGGGATGTGGTGATTCTGCACTGACTCTTTCCCACAGGTCAGTTTTACACGTGGCTTTGGGGGAGACTGAATTTACATCCTGGAGTCTATGTTTTGTGTCTGGTTTATTTGTTTATTTAATTGTCCCCAGGCTGTCCAGATAATAGAGCTAGCTGTGTGGCACCCAAAATATCTTTAAAACCTGGAGCCCTGGGCAGGGGAGAGCAAGGACCTGCACATGGATCTCTGTGCTGCAGCAGAGCCTTTGGTCCCTTTGGTGGCTGCTGCTCTGCTCTCAGGGAGCACATCCCAGGATCCACAGTCCTTCTTTAAGGAGTCACATTCCCCAGCTAAGGAGTGTACAGATCATCCCATTGTATTGATGCCATCCCTGAAACAGCCAGCTGAGGAAAAATCCTCCCTTGTCTCCCCCAGCCACAAGGAAATTCCTTCATTAGAGACCACTGTAATGCTACAGAAATATTCCTTTCCAGCAACAAACTCCCCATAATGTTGTTATGAGAAGTGCCTTAAAAGTGGCAATCAATTCTTCTTTGAAGTCATTAACAACCAAAAATGAGTGCAGGACTTGTGAGAGGGCTGGAAATACGAGAAGATTTAAAGTGTATCTCTCAAATGTGCTCCAGCAGAGAGGAGGGAAGGGATCCAATTGCTTTCTTACCCTTGGAATGTCTCTGTTGGTTTTAATAGTCTGATAGCCTAATGACAAACTCCACACACACTCTGGGGTATGTTCTCAGCTTAATCCATGGGGATGCATGTCTGTAATACTCATTAACGTCAGGGAGCGTTAGGAGGAACATAAATCTTTGCTCACTAAGATGTGAATCTAGATTCTGATGTTCACCACACAGCATCAACTGCTGACTGAAGAATAAGAGGAATTCCAGCACCTAGAAAGTCTCCTTGAGAGTTCCTAGACTAAACAATCAATCCAGCCAAAAAAAATCAGGGATGAAATTTCTACTCCACACTTTTGGTTGAAAACACCAGCTGTGATAGAGAGTGATGCATATCCAACAGGCAGGCTCCAGCTCACACAGGAAGTCCATAAAATCCCTGTGAATCCCCAGCTGGCTAGACAAGCTCTCTAGTTCCACCAGAAACCCTGAAAAATAGATAAGCAGTGCATTTCTCAGTTAATTGTTAGTGCCCTACAGCCCAGGAAAACATCACACTATGCACATACATAAAGAGGAATTTTGATGCCAAGAAATTAGAACTACTCCATAACAGACTTCTGATTTGTGATTTCTTTGGCACCAAGCCTAACACAAAATCACTGTGATTTCCAACTACAAATATTTTTGGAACCACCAGACTTGGTCCCATGTGTATGTTAAATGAAATGAATGTTCAAAATCCACAATAAAACTCCAGAGGGGAGACTCCGATTAGAATATTAACATTAATCTTAGGAAGTCACTAGGAACCATTCAAGCTATAATAATAAATTGCAATAAAGAAGGAATATAAGGGCTTTTTTTGCTGTCTGTTCAGTAAGCAGGTGTTACTGTGAACACTCTAATCTACACAGCACAGAAGTGAAGTGGTTGCCCTTAAATTTTCCAGTTGTGTAAAATAAATAAATGACATTACCATAATATGTACAACAATCCCTCTTATAGGAGCTCAAGTGCAGCTCAGGGACTGGTGCAGATACTGAGATCACGTCATGCAGCTCCCCAGGACAAGACTGGAAAGTTTTCAAAAGCAATCCTTCTCTCAACAGCCCCAGAGGCAGGAGCAGGATCCTGATTCACTCCCTCTTGGTGGTGAGAGCCATCCCTGGGCCACTTGCTGGTGACAGAGTCCCTGGAACTCACCCTGGGGAGTCCCAGGTGTAAGGACATGATGCTGCCATGCTGCTCCAGCAAGGGGCTGAGCTCTGACTTGCTACCTGGACTGAACTTTGATGTAATTTGGATCCAGGCTGAAGTGCTTCAATTTAAATCTCTGAAATGTACCTTAGCAGCAGTGGTTTGATTGTTAAAATGAATGGTCACTTCCAAAAGCAGCTTCCTTTGACTTGCAGCAGTTAATCAGGACTTCTCAGCTCTGTCACCCAGATGAAATGGATATATATCCTCAGTGTTAAACCTTTGTGTTTAGAAGTTTTCACCACCATCTCTAACATGGCAATAAAACTGTGGTTCTCAGCATACAATCTTGGCTTGCAAAATTCAGGAGAAAGAATGATCAGGAAGTGAACCAAACCGTTGACTTTGACTGGAATATTTTTAGGTTTGGTGTTCTCAAATTTAAGTGGTGACAGAAAAAGTTTCTTGTTATCATTAGAAAATTGGACTCAAGTGGGACTAGCACACGATTCATTGTATTTTCACAAATAGGTGAGAAATGAGGTGTACAGGAATTTCCTAATTCAGTAAAGTGCTGCTTTCCAGTTCAGGCATTGGCTCCCAGTGGTGAACATATTTCTTTTGTTCTGGAGAAGTCATTTTTTCACACCTGGCTGTTTTGTGGTGTTCACTGTACTTCTGATGCAACCCAGATTCCAGGAAGCCTGGGAGCTCCCAAAGCAAAGTCTGCTCTGCAGGATCTGTAGCTCAGCAGCAGCAGCAAGGAGTTGGAAGCTGATCCATGCTGAGCTGGATCATTGATTGAATATTTAGGTGTTTGCTCAGAGCTTGTCAGGAAACAAACTCCAACCCTGAAATGCAAAGCATCAAGACTCCTCAAGGAACTTTTTTGATCACACATATCAAGCAATTCACAAAGAACTGACCAAACACTGGTTTGTGTGTCCCTGTGAGGAGTTTTCTGTGTGCAGCCTTGCAGAGCACCAAAATTGTCCTTCCAGGTATGACACTGCTCTATTAATAGTCTGTGAAGTACTAGGAGCACATGAAAGACACTTCAGATGACTCTTGAAAAATGAATCAGTATCTGCTCTGAAATTGGACCCCAAGTATGGAATAGGATGTGTCTGTGAGAGATTATTTTGGGGCCATATGGTTTCTTACTCTGCTCCACCCTCCTTTTCAGGAACCTAACAAATCCCAGCACCCTGTACTCACTGCAGAAGGATATGGGCATCTTCTGGGAGCAGACTTTGTTGGGCTGTTAGGAATTTTGTTCTTTCCTAACAGATAACTGCTCTGCTAATGCCTCCTGACCTGTCTTAGTGGAAAACACTTGTGCAGGGAGAAGCCCTTCTGCACCAATTCCTGTCTTTATCCTACAAATAAGTTGCTGGCTTTTCTCTTCACCACTCTGCTTTTATCTCCCCTCTGTCCTGTCTGACACATCTCTCCTGCTGGCTGCTGGTGGGACAAGCCTGTGATTTGTTCCAAGCAAACACACGTGCACAGTTCCCACCATTGTGTGGTCTCCTGCTCTGAACTTACCTGTGGGTGTTTACTTTGGTGGCATGACCTGGTATTTTGTAGCTCTGTATCTTTTTTTCTCCTTCCTTGATATTTTGTTCCCCTCAGCCACGATAACTCTTCGTCAGAAGCCGCTGCATTTCTGCTTTGATCATATAGAATGCACTGTATAGCCTCGGGTAACACAGTGCTGCTTAATACAGATGAAATAGCTACAAACCCTCTTAGAAGTGGGGTTTAAAAAGGGATACCAGTGAAATCAGATCCCTCTAGCTGGACAGCAGTCTGATAGCAGAACAAGGGCTGTTGTGGTATTTGGCAGCCAGACAGTCTTTATTGTTATTAGATGAAACAAAGCTTGTGATCTTTAGTCCTTGACCTTCACTGCAGCAGCACACTCTTAATCAGACCTTAATTTAACACCTAACATGGGCACAGAAAGGCCCAGCCACGGGCTGCTGGTTTAATTACATATAGCTGATATCATCCAAACCAATTTAACCTCATTGCTGCGTGCTGGGCACGGGATGGGAATCGCAGCACAAACCAGCACCCAACAGAAACAAACAGCAATGGGCTGCTCGAAGTTTTGTTTGTTCACTTAAAAGAGAAATAATTACTCCTCTGGATACTTTGCAGGTGATGTTAAAACCTTTTCAGGCAGAACTGGAATCAGCATGATTTACTAAATCTCTTTGCCCTTTATGCTTTCACTCTGGCATTTTAGGTATTTCTAATATTTAAAGATCAAGCCTCCTGCTGATGGCATTCTCCCATGCACATTCATGGGATCTGTTGCTGTGCAGTAGCATCTGTGTAGCTGGGTAAGAAGGAATATTTATGTGTTTCATGATAAGACTTTCACATTTTGCTGCTGCTTTGTGCTCAGTTCTTCACAAACTGACACAATATTTATTTTTGACATTTAAATCTGAACAGTCATATTTTTACATGTTTTGACACAAAATTTGGTCTCTTTCTGATTTAGTCTGAAAATCTGAAAACATCCAGTCTTCTTTCAGAACCAGGATTGTTTTGATTAATCAGGTTTCACTCAATTTTTTTTCACCAAAACACCATCAGCAAACCAAATAAACAACAAACATTGTAAATAGTCTGCAGCTTTTTGGTGAAATCCCAAATTTTCCATGAAATCCCAGTTAAACACACAAAGATTGTTGCGAGCATCACAGGTTTGCTTGAAAGAGATTGCCTTGAGTTTGCAAGAAGTGGATGCCTACCTCTGGCAGAGCACCTCAACAAAAATACTAATGAATAAAAATGATGTAAAATATTAATGAGCAGCAAGAGCTTGGGATGTAGAAGACAGAGGTTCCACTGTCAGTGTTTGTCACTGGCTTGCTGAAACTTAGCCTGCATCATGCTGCTTCATTCTACAGGTGAACTCTGGTGGGCCTTAATGGGCAAGAAATGAACATTCTGTGTGCTCTGTCCTACCTGTCTGCAAGGGGACACATCCCCTGTGACAGGTGCCAGCACACTGGCCACCCGTGTCCCCGTGGTGGCTGCATTGCTGCTGGAGGTGGATCTGCCCTGGGACACTGGGCAGGAGCAGGCAGGCACTGGGATGTGCACGCTGTGCCCATGGAAAGGTGAGTGGGGATTGCCTGGCACTCTCAGTAGGAAGCTTCTTACTTCCACTCTGCACAGACATGAAGGACTTCTCAAGGTGTAAGAATCAAGCCCCAAGATTTCAGGATGAAAGGAATTTAAAATCAAAATGAACCCGAAACCTCCAAGGGAAGTTCTGAATAAAATTTCTTCTGTTGCAGAGGAAAGCAGGATCTTGCCCATGGAAATGCTTTTGTGCTTTTAAGGCCAGATCACAGAAGATCTTCTCTGGTGCTTTCAGGGGCTGTTTGAATGTGAGCTCCAGCTGGACTGGTGAGTACGTGTTGATCCCCACTGTCCCAGCTTTGGAAGGGGACAAGGCCTTTGTGTGTTTAGCTCTCAGTTTGGTTTCTACACGGTGACTGCTGTGTAGTCATGTTCTGGTTCACTTTGCACAAACTTTCCATTGTAGCCCCCTTACACTGACTGAGCTTTGGCTGGGACAAAAGAAGGACTCAGAGTGTCAGAGCCATGGTGGGGCAAGGTTTAATCTCCAGCTGATGCTGTACTTACCCAAAATCAATATGAACAGCAGGCTGTCACTGGAACTGGAAAGAGACTCTCTATGACAGGCTTATGCTTTTTTAAAAACTATTTCAGTTTATCTTGTGCAGCTCTTTTGTATAGGTAATTCTTTCTGTTGCAGGGTCTGCTGAAATGTTCCCAGGCCTGGCTGGAGGATCAGTGTTGCTTTAAAACCTGAATAAACAGTTATACGCCCTGGTAGCTTCAGATCCAGTAGCCAGAACAAATGACATTTTGCATGAATTCTTCCAAGTGAATTGCTCTGTGACCACTGTAGGCTTTTGAGTTTTTGACTCATGATATAGAAGGCTGTTAGAGCTTTTCTTGAAGAACTCTGAAATGCCCTTCTTTCACCACCCCGATTGTTTCCCCAGTCAGTGCAGTTAGCTGGGAGCCCAGTATGGTTTCACTACTCCTGTGAGTTATGTTTTGACTTGGGGTTTGGACTTTTTTTGTGATTGAATGTTTTTACAGGGCTCCCTGTGACCTCATGCGAGGGCAATCGCTGTGTTGATTTGCAGGAATGTAGATGGGCCTGCAGAAATGTCAGGGTCTCCCATTAAGATGTTTCTTTCACCTCAGCAGGGGGACTGGGTTACTGGAGTGTTGTTACTGCGGTGCCCTGCAGTCAGTAACACAGCACGAGAGCACAATTGCCCTGATGTATTCCAGCAGCGTGGTGTTAATGTGCCATTGCTTCTCGGGATTTCAGCGCCAAGGCATCACTTCTGTGCATTACAATAACACAGGCAAGTGGGCTTCTGCTTTAGGAAAACTGTCAGTCCCTGCAGCCCTGTTGTGCACTGGGGTAGTGGGATACAATCTGCACTTTTCCCATTGTGCATGGATGTAGGACCTGCTCTCAAAGTCATGAATATAGGACATGCCCTCAAAGTCCTGAATACAGGACATGCTCTCAAAGTCCTGGATGCAGGACATGCTCTCAGAGCCTTGGATGCAGGACGTGCTCTCAAAGTTTCGGGTGCAGGACATGTTCTCAAAGTCCTGGATGCAGGACCTGCTCCCAGAGTCCTGGATGCAGTACATGCTCTCAAAGTTTCGGGTGCAGGACATGCTCTCAAAGTTCTGGATGCAGGACCTGCTCTCAAAGTTCTGAATACAGGACAATTCTCTCAGAGTCCTGAATGCAGGACATGCTCTCAAAGTTTTGGGTGCAGGACATGCTCTCAAATTTCTGCATGAAGGACCTGCTCTCAAAGTCCTGAATACAAGACATGCTCTCAAAGTCCTGGATACAGGACCTGCTCTCAGAGTCCTGGATGCAGGATGTACTCTCAGAGTCCTGGATGCAGGACCTGCTCCCAGAGCCTTGGATGCAGGACCTGCTCCCAGAGTCCTGCAGAGCCTTTTTCACCTTTTCCCTCTGAGGACTGGATCCCAGCTCAGTGGAAGCCAGCAGCACGCTCCCATTTCTCCGGGATATCTCTGGTAGAAGCTGGGTCAGTGCTGCATTTCCCTCTTTCACAGCGCCTAAACATTTGCAATTCCATTCCCAGAGTGCAGTAAATGTTCTATAGGTGCACTCATACATGTGCAGTGCAATGTGTGTGCACTCACACAACATGTTTTGACTGCAGTTCTCTTTCTGTTGGCATTTGTCTGTACCATCTGATGAGTATTTGCTCTACAAAGGCACCTAAAAGAGCAATTATATTTTCCAGAAAGTCTTAGAAGTTCTCTTTATGGGCAGGTATTTGTTATGCTGGGGATTGAACTCTTGAAAAGAAAACAAAGTTTCAGCTATCTTGGTAAAGAAAAGCAACGCACCTTGTTCACGTTTTTTCTGATATTTTTGTGATTCTTATCATGCTTAGTGTTCTTCTTAAGTGTGGAGTTCCCAAAGCTGCATGATTAGAGAATCTTAGCTTGTGTGAAACTCAAAACAGGAATTTTTGAACTTTCATTTTTGTAGAGAAAGGCTTGGGAAAAAAATGCATGTGGAAAACAAATAACAGAATGAAAAGAAGGAACCCAAAGTCATGAGCAAAACTGGTGCAATATTGTGGCATAGAGACTAATTTAGTCCAAGGTTCCCAATGAAAACTGCTGCTTATTCAGCAAAATAAAAATATTTTAAATTTTATTGCCTTAAGTATACTTAATCCAGCATCAAAATGGTTTTGCTTATAAGATTTTTTCAATGTCACAAATATTACACCTTACATGAAAACATAAATTTTCATTAGGAGTGAATTTAATACAAAATTTAATATTAGCCTTATTCAGAGGTACTTGTATATCCATGTGGATGTGTGGGTGTCAATTTGTGTCCTTGTCTTCTTATTTTGAGTTAATACTGGTATTTTCATGCCTGATTCATGATTTTTGAATGCTTGAGCTTGGCAGCACTGAACATCTGCCTTAATTGTGGGTACTTAGCTTCTTTGAAATTCTCACCTAAATTTAAAATTTCAGCCATAAAAAAAAGAATCCTGGACCAGACAAGCCACTTGCCAAATGCTGGGCTATAAATTACAGCCATTTCTTTTTATTACAGAGTTGTACAGTAAATAAAATAAACCCCAAACACCTAAACCCACACATCTAATTACACCAAATGTGCTCCTTGTCCAAAGCCGAGCTCTGAGCTCAGCCTAGCCCCAGATGGGCCTAATGGTTTAGCTGCAAACTAAACCTCTGTAAAAACAGAAGCTGAAATAGCAACACAACAGTAATGCTGTATTAGCCCTCCAGGGAAGTATCTAAATAAGCAGTAAAAGTAATGAAATAGCATTTATAGCTTTTGTGTCATAAATGCATTATTTGTAAATAAAAGCAAAGCAGGTTCGCTGTGGTAAACTGGCACAGCTTTGCTCCCAGTTCTACTCCCAGTTCTACTCCCAGTTCTTCTCAAAGTTCTGTTCCCTGCTCTGTTCCCTGCTCTGTTCCAGTTCTGTTCCCTGCTCTGTTCCCAGCTCTGTTCCCAGTTCTGGTCCCAGCAGTGTTCCCAATTCTTTTCCCAGCTCTGTTCCCAGCTCTGCAGGGCAGCCCCTGG